CTTTGCCATGGCGATGGCATGGCGGTGGATTGGAAAACAAGTCAGATAATGATGACGTCACACGTGGTCAGAGAGCAAGAGAAACATAGCATAGTCCGCACAATCACGGGCCAAGGCTCAACGGGACACCCTAGCCTCCACGACAGCCAGGGAGGCACAGCCATCCATTGGAGGCTGCCAAACTCGGCGAGCCCCACGCAGACACATGACACTCCAACTCAGCAGGGCGAAATCCAGCCTGCAGTGGAGGTGGGCAATTAGCAAACAATACGCCTCCCTCCCACGTAGCGACTGGAGGTGTGCAATCCGGCTCACCAGTGCAGCAGCACCCTGATTGTACACTGAAGACTTGCTACCACGAAACCCACGCACAATGATGGGAGTGATCGGGAGAGTGCCGGTGAGAATGTTAGTGTTGTGCATAGGTTTCGTGGTAGCAAGTCTTCAGTGTACAATCATCTGCTAGCTAGTCCTGATTGTTGCAATTCGTATTCCGACTCTTCCTTCACTGTATTGTGCCGTGGTCGTCATGGTTATGGACTACAGTTAAAAGTTTTGGAAGCTATCTGTCAGCGTCTGTATAAGCCTAATTTGTCTGTACAGAAAGATGGTATATTGGGTTGAAATTGTTCAAGTAACGCGTCGTGTTTGGTACGGCCAAGCTTGGCCGTTAATGTTCTAGGTGGAATGTACTGCTGTTATGTGTTTTCACTTTGTCCTCCCTTCTTTCTTTCTCTTGTTTGTTCATTTTCCATTATTATTTATACAAAAGAGAAAGACCAAGGAACTACAAGTTACGCTATACTGTCCGCTAACACCACCAGTTACTAAACAATCAGCTCATGCGATAACATTGCACGACACTGACCGACGGTACTGACGTTCTACAACTAACTGCCTGACAGTATAAATTAAACCTTGGCTCTCCATCTGAGTTCATTATTATTATTTAAATAATCGACGCGGAGGCAACAATTTTATAATAGCAATAAAGAGAAAAAAATCTGCTGTCATCGCCACACTACAACAAAGTCATGAAAGTTTTATCTTTGCAAGCAGAAGAAACATGTAGTTGCGTTAAGATTGTTTTCGTAGGTACACAGCATGATTGTTTGTCTCACTACACAGCTCTAGCATTGCAATTAGTTTCTCACCCCTGTTGCACTTAGCTCTCACTTCACTTCTATTGTCTCACCATCCCTCATTCTATTTTAGCACTTTATTTTGTTCTCACATATTGACTGTATATTAATCAATGAATCAGCATGGTTACTCTTCAGTCACGGCTTTCCACTGATGATTGTGACAAGAAAATCTATTTTGGTAAACTTTCATGACTTTGTTGTAGTGTGGCGATGACAGCAGACTATGATTTGTTCTCTTTATTGCTATTATATTATTATTATTATTATTATTGTAGAAAGGAAAAAGACATTATGAATACGAGTTAAGAGTAACTCTACATCACTGTAACATGATACTTTATACAGTCAGAAAGTGCAATAACTAGGCACAAAACTGACAGAGATGTTACAGTGATGTTACAGTGATGGAGAGTGATGGAGAGTTACTCTTAACTCGTATCCATGGTGTCTTTTTCCTTTCTACATTTATTTATGGCTCAACATCCGAGTTTCAAATTATTATTATTATTATTTATCTGAAACTCGGATGTTGAGCCAATAATAAAATGTAGAAGGGAAAAGGAAATATAGATACGTGTTTGTATTTGTATTTGTATTTATAATTATCATTATCTCATGGCACATCATGATGACGGCCAGTAAAACTGAGACAAGGGTGAAAGCCAACCACAGCAGTAAAACAGATAAAAGAATAATAATAAAAGGCAAAGAAGGCAAAGGAGGAGACAAACCAGCAGGATATACATGAAACCTATAATTGAGCAGAGATTTTAGCAACAAAATTATCCATCGACGTGCTGGTCTTGGCCTGCGTTGGTAATGTTGCCCAAAACACATAGCCAGCAAAGATCGGAGATCTAGTGAATAGGGTGGAGGCAGCGCGTGGGAGACTGAATGAGTTCCGGGTATTCCGTGTTTCGGAGAACCAATTATAAGCCTGCATATGCAAGGGTATTTTCTTTAGTAATATTTTATGTATGAGCACACAGAGGTGGTACTTATGTCGAGTGGAAAGGGGACTGATCTTGGCAATTTCGTAAAGACTAGCGGAGGGAAAGCGACGATCTTTGCTAAATAAGATTTTAAGGAGCATGCGGTTATGGGTTTCTAGCTTGTTCAATACAGTAGTAGTTATGCCAGACCAAGCAGTATCACAGTAGTCAAGTAAGGGCAATATATAGCAACGATAAAACAAGCGTTTGCAAGAAAGAAGAAGATGTCTACAGTGGGCTTGGAGAGCCCCAAGGATGGAGCTTGTGCGCTTGCAGACATACTGCACATGGGGAGACCACGACAATTTAGAGTCAATAACAACGCCAAGATGCTTATGCTCTTCAACAATATGAATAGCAACACTTGAAGAAGGAAAACAAAGTGGCAGGGAAGGGGGAGAGGGGGAAATGTACATAGCTGCCGTTTTATCAACGTTTGGCTGCAACTTCCAATCATGCATCCAGGTGATAACCTTGCCAGTGCAATCTTGCATGGCTTCGTGCAGTCGTATAGGGCAAGCATTGGAGCAAAGCAGAGCTATGTCGTCAGCGAAAAGGCTGACACCAGGGGCAATATCGGGTAGGTCATTAATATACAGGAGAAATAGCAGTGGCCCAAGGATTGAACCCTGGGGGACTCCAGAAGTAACGGGTAAAGGCTCCGATAACACAGTTGAGAGGCGTACAAGCTGATGTCGGTTAGAGAGATACGATGAGAGCCAGCCGATAGCCTTGCCACCAATGCGATATACTGTTCGCAGCTTAGCTAAGAGACCCCTGTGCCAAACAGTGTCGAAGGCCTTTGCAAGATCGAAGAAAACTAAACCAACATGGTTATGGGCGTTCCGGGCGGTGTGGATGTCTTGCACGAGGCGGGTAACCTGGTACCTGGTGGAGTCACCCCGACAAAAGCCCGACTGTGCTGGCGAAAGTGAAATGCGAACATGATCATAAATGATGTCATATACAACACGTTCGCACACTTTTGATAAAGTAGAGAGCAATGAGATAGGGCGATAGTTGCTGGGGGTGGTGCGTGGTCCTCTATTTTTGTAGGTGGCCACGACTACCGCAGTTTTCCACATGACTGGGAATTTCCCTTCGCGAAATGACATATTCAAGATAATTGACACAGGATAGGCAACAGACAGAGCAAGAGCTCTCCAAACTTCGTTGGTAATTCCGTCTTGACCAGGGGACTTGCCAGTTTTCAGATTACGGAGATATTTCCTCACTTGGGCTGTACCAGTCGACAATGATAGGAGGGACGCAGGTATTGAGGGTGAAGGGATGAGTGGTGGTGTAGGCCACGTAGGGTCGTCAGGAAGTCCAAACGACGTAAACTGCGTGTTCAATATGTCTGCTATGTCTGGGGGTCTGTTGCTACTGTGCCGTCTGAAGCTGTCATTGATCGGATAGTCTCCCGATTACAGTTCTTACGGAGATGGCGGAGAAATTGATGGAGACTAGGGCGATCATGGGAAGACAGGGTGGCATGAAACGACTGTACATACTGACGATGGAGGGTACGTGACAAACATTTCACTTCGTTACGCTTGCACTTAAAGGCAATGACGTTTTCACTGGTTGGATACTTCCTATAAATGCTATACAAATCTCGCTTCAGTTTCACAGCACACTTGAGGTCCGGAGTGATCCAGGGTCGGGATGCATCCCGCATAGTAGGATGAGGTCTATTGTAGTCTCCTGTCCGCGGAATAACTTTGTAAGGCAACAGATGACGATGGAATGCTGACTGCAGTAAAGCATCAAACAGGACAATGGCATCATCAACATCAGTGTTGAGAGTAACTCTCCATCACTGTAACCAGATACTATATACAGTCACAAAGCTTCCCCTTCGGTACTTTTCTTTGATATTTATGACCCACCCAAGTTGGGTGTTGTGCCGCTTTGCTGCTTCGAATTGTAGTTAGACCGCTTTGTCAAATATCCTACTGGTCTCGTCATAGTCCAGTAAAAATCAACATTCTTTGTTCCGTTGGGACTGTAGCTTGTGCTCATTTTCATTGCGCTTGCCTTCCCCTCTTTGGTCATTCCATAACCTTGAACCTTCCAAGTTGGAAGGCTGTCGGGTAGCGCTACGGAGATGTGTTGAAGCTAGGTGTCAGGACGTCAAATGTCTCAGTACTCTATCAGTTGTGTGCCTAGTTGTTGCACTTTCTGACTGTATATAGTATCTGGTTACAGTGATGGAGAGTTACACTCAACACGTATCTATATTTCCTTTTCCTTTCTACAATTATTATTTATGATCAAGAAAGGAAAAGGACACAATGTTACGAGTTATGAAAATCTGTCCACCCACGTAACCAGATCTTATACAGTCAGCGTAACATTTTGTCCTTTTCCTTTCTTGATCATAACTATATTGGCTCACCATCCGAGTTTAAATTATTATTATTATTTATTTATATTTTACTAGGGCAGTCCCCACAGACCTATGGTCTTCTTACAGAGTGCCCTAGCCACGTGAAGATATCGATTAAGATTTTTTTTAAGGATTTCCGAAAGGCATAGCCTACCGGGGGATCTCCTAATATCTCCGGGTAGGCTGCACATACGTACATGCATCAAGTTATTTTTTTTAATTGACAGCGATTTTCATCATTTTAACGTATTTTTGGAATTTCGGAAAATTTAGGTGTAATGTTAAATTTGGTAATCCAGGACCCCTACCGAAGTTACCGAAATTTAAAAAATACACCGAAATAAACGTAAGGTGGCAAGTAACACTACATTTCAATGTAGGATTTAGTTCATTCGGCACTCTGTTGAGCATAGTGTCCTGGTGATTGTGTTGCGGAGAATTTAAATTCTAATTCTACTATTGTGTGTCCAGAATGCTATTGAGAATGTGATTGGGGAGCGACATGAGGAGGTCTGGTTAATGGGAAATGCTTCCTTCATACGGTACAATCTCTTCACGCGGAAAGTTGAAAGGAGTTACGCGATCAATTCCAAACCAGGCCCTTCAAGAATTCTTGATCCCACCTTTTTACGATTCCCGTATACACCCACGGCTACCCCACGGGCGGATGGTTACATCTGTATGGGGAGAGAAGGTGAGAATCTTTGAAAGAATTTGAAGAACTTGAGTATAGAGATAGGAAGTCCCACATCATTGCAACACTGCATGAAACCCCGAGTGTGCAGCTTTTTGAATGTTTCTGTGTGGGAGTCTGCAAAGGCAAACATTCTAGAGTCTATCATAGTTGGTGAAAATATGCGGCAAGAAGTGGCATGGTGCGTCCAAGTGAGCCGCAGCTGCGCAGCATGAAGCCTGTTTTAATCATACTTGCACGAACTGCATCACTAAAGTGATGCAATCCAGGACTACTTCGCAATGGCAGTATCCCTCAGGTGCAGGTAGCCTGTCAAGGGAAGTGTGTGAAGATGGTGTGCTCGCATTGCTCGCATTATGAGAATATAGGTACCGGTAGTATGTACATGTACATCTGATAGATGTGAGATAAAGAATCACTGGTGAGTGTAGACCTTGTTGTTGTTTTTTGAATTCTTTATTCTCGCGATGACACCATCGCCAATGGCGCCAATGGCACCATTGTTGTTGTTGTTGTTGTTGTTGTTGTTGTTGTTGTTGTTGGTGGTGGTGGTGGTGGTGGTGGTGGTGGTGGTGGTGGTGTTGTTGTTGTTAATGTTGTTGTTGTTGCTGTTGTTGTTGTTGTTGTTGTTGTTGTTGTTGTTGTTGTTGTTGTTGTTGTTGTTGTTGTTGTTGTTGTTGTTGTTGTTGTTGTTGTTGTGGCACCATCGCCAATGGCGCCAATGGCACCATTGTTGTTGTTGTTGTTGTTGTTGGTGGTGGTGGTGGTGGTGGTGGTGGTGTTGTTGGTGTTGCTGTTGTTGTTGTTGTTGTTGTTGTTGTTTCAAATCTTTATTCTCACGATAGCCAGTGGCCAATAAGAGATAATAGTGTAAGAAAGGAGAAAGAGTGAGGAAGAATTGGGTGGGCAGGGCCTAGGGGTTAATGACTACTTAAGTGTACGGGCAGGGGTGGTCGCCACACGAGCATACAGAGTTGCGTACTTAAGTGTACGGGCAGGGGTGGTCGCTACACGAGCATACAGAGTTGTGAAACAGCAGGGATATCTCGGATTTGAAGGGAGTACGAGAAGGGATTTCGCGAAGCTGGGTGGGCAGGCAATTAAAGTAATGAAGGGCCTTGTACAGGGGAGAATGGAGACAGCGGTCAGTCCGCGGAGTTGGCAAGTGCCAAGTACGAGAGCGACGTAAATTATACGAAGGTTGCACGTTGCTAGCAGTATGCAGCGAGAGTATATGTGGTGGGGCATAATTGTGGCGCAGGGAATGCGCGAAGAGTATATGTTTAACTTTAAAACGTGAAAATAATGTTGGCCATTTGATGCGATGCAAAAGGTGGGAGTGTTCTAAGTGTGTGTAAAGGGGAAGGTGGAGACATATTCTGGCGGCTTTCCGCTGGAGTCGTTCTAGCCTGTCAAGGGAAGTGTGGGACAACGGTGTGAGAGCAGTGCTCGCATATGAGAATATAGGTAGTATGTATGTCTGATAGATGTGAGATAAAGAATCACTGGTGAGTGTAGACCTTAATCTAAAAAGAATATTGAAAGACTTGAGTGATTTTTTGACTATGTATTCAACATGCTCCGTCCAACGGAGGTCATGCTGAAAGATTATTCCGAGGTGTTTGTGTTTTTGTGCTACGGTAAGCGGACTATTCCTGAGGGTGATCTGGGGTAGCTGTTCAGGGGGGCGGTTATTGTGGTAGAACGGGAGGATGACTGTTTTCTTTGTGTTAACCAGCAGGTGCCATCTTTGAAGCCAGTCTCCAGCTGCTGTGACACTCTGTTGTAGGTTTCGGGTGCAGTCTTGAAGAGTTCTCGCTATGGAAATCAGAGCGGTGTCATCTGCAAACTGGCTACAGGTGGTGCCGGGATTCTCACATGCATGTGGAAGGTCTATGGTGTAGACGAGGAATAGAAGCGGCCCAAGAACAGATCCCTGAGGGACGCCGGCAGGGATCTCGAGGAAAGGCGATAGGTCGCCATCCACCTGGACCCTTTGCCGACGCCCCAACAGGTACCGTCGGAACCACTCCAGGGCGTTGCCCTGGACACCATAGTGGGAGAGTTTTGCTAGAAGGCCTGCATGCCACACACGATCGAAGGCCTTGCTTAGATCGAAAAAGCAGGCATTGACGTGTTTCCCGTCGTCTCTCGCAGTGGAGAGGGTATGGACGAGACGGGCGAGCTGCTGCTCAGTGCCGTCTTTCTCGCGGAATCCGGACTGCTGGTTGGGCAGGTGGGGTGTGAGGTGCTTGTAGAGGAGTTGATGTGCAATTTTTTCTTGGATTTTTGATGTAGTGCTCAAGAGAGAGATGGGTCTATAATTTGTTGGTTGGGTTGGGTCACCCGGCTTGGGTACTGGAGTAATGGTGGCAGAGGGACGATAACGACGGTGCAAGTTCCTTAGCCGCTGTTGTTGTTGTTGTTGTTGTTGTTGTTGTTGTTGTTGTTGTTGTTGTTGTTGTTGTTGTTGTTGTTGTTGTTGTTGTTGTTGTTGTTGTGGTTGTTGTTGTTGTTGTTGTTGTTGTTGTTGTTGTTGTTGTTGTTTGTGTTGTTGTTGTTGTTGCTTTTCTCCTTCCTTCTTCAGCGACTCGTCTTGTCATCTCTCCTTCTCTGGGAATGCAATGAATTGAAAATATGGCCGAAAGCTCTGTCGCAATATTTAGTTCTGAAGTTTTAATGCGCCGTTAGTGGCAGAGCAGAGTGGACACGAAGAGTCGGTGAAGAAAGAAGGAGAGATGACAAGACGAGTCGGTGAAGAAGGAAGGAGAAAAGCAAGACATATCTGCAACATCTTTGTTTGATCAAACTGAGCTGAGCTGCTGATACGAAGCGTCGACCAAGCATCCCTGACTGGAGTGAATGCCCCAGCTGGCCTCTCGTGTGTCAGTGGTTGCTACTAGACCTGTTAGTATCACACTCACGACTACAAGTTTCCTGGTGTGCACCGACATCGGCATCAGTGGGGCCTCCCGCTGTCGATCCTGTTGACGGGCAGGCAGGTCGGTGTGAATCCTGAACGGCAACCGAGCCTGTCGCGTTGGGGGATCTCGGCAGTGAGTCTCACCTCGCCTGCATACATGGACATTGCAACATAATAATAATGAGCAACATACATGTACTTTCCATTGGCATCGGCATCAGTATTCCGCGTAAGATTTTCGTCGCCTGTGTGGTGTGTTTCTCCACCAATGAGCGCGTACTATGATTATTTATCGCTGTTCTCACACTTTACCATTTTAGCAACTTGCATATGCCATTGATGTGGAAAGCTCGCACTTGCGCCATTTCTGGTGTATAAGAATGATCATTCCTCCATTATCATCATTATCATCTTCTACTGATGAGCTCCGACAGGGAGCGAAACAGCTGTCTAGAGGCGTGGAGCAATATTATCTCTCAACGGAAGTGTCCTTGCTGGTGTCTGTATGGTTCGGTTGAAGAGCGCGTGGTTGTGATGAGTTGGGAATTTAGTCTGTTGGTCATTGTCGTGCAATGTTATCGCATGAGCTGACTGTTTAGTAACTGCTGGTGTTAGTGGACATTATAGCGTAACTTGCAGTTCCTTGGTCTTTCTCTTTTGTATAAATGGGAAATATGTTTACAAAAGAAGTCAACTAATGCGGAATAGAAGAAATAATTCATTGTTAGCACACACATTGATGATTGCTCTCGCTTTCATTGTTACAATTCACACTTGTAAATTTCACTGCTGTTGTTTTTTGTGTTATTTGTCTAACTTAGGTTTACTATAATACTTCAATTTTGTTTAACGAAAACTTGTTTGAATCATATTTTTTCTTTACACTATTTTATAAAAAAATGTATTGTCAACGCATGCATCTAAGCAAAAATCACCATCAGCAAATTGGGACATGTGTCAAATAGTATTGAACGTTTTCGTTCCCTTCTTCTTAAAATACTACAGGGAATAATGGAAATAAGCTAAAAGACTACAACTATAAGGAAAAGAAGTTCAGAGATACATCACTTCAATTATGTGTAGAAGTGACACGAAAGAATAGATGTGAAGAGTCAAGAAAACAGCATGCAAATCCAATAAGTGACAAAAACGTAGTGACAAGAAAAAGAGAGACAATATCAAGAGATCAAGGGATCTATTTTGCACCTTCACGACGAACAGTGCCAAACAGCTGCAAAGACAACACATTCTCCTTCTGAACACAAAGCTCAGGGTCTAACTTACATATGTACAAAGCTTCCAACACGGCAAGATGTAACAAAGACCTACCACGCGACAAAACAGAGAATAAATCATCGGAATACCACTCACAACAACTAGCACTGCCCGACAGGTGACACTTGATTGCCGATGTTCTGTTTCCCTGACCCGACGGCTTGGCCGTTGTCACCTCAGATCCTGCCGCTTGCCAGTCTCTCCCATTATGCCCTGCGTTTACACTATGTCTTCCTATTTTCATCGTTTTATTGCACATTGTCTCCACCGTTTTACATTGCATTAACTTAGATTTAACCCTTTAACCGTCATATAAATTTCACCCATTGAAACGCCGAACGAAATTTCAACTTTGCCAGGTCATAACTTTAGTTGTACTCACTCGATTTTTATAATCTTGGGCTCTTTGGAAAGCTCTGGACGAGACCAGCACGATGATACCACATTCTTCGCCTCAGCAGTCACACAACCAGCGCTGGAATGCAGCGACGTCGTCTCAACGCCAGGCATGCAAATGACAAGTTCAAAACTCCGCCATGGCCGTCTCCTTCATCGTAGAGTGTTCAAATTTTTTTTGAGAGATCGAGCATTTCGTGAGGAATACGTTGGTCGCGAGCAACAGTCACAGAGCGCGTGAAGAAACGGGGAAATCCCGTGACGACGTCAGCCGCGCGCCCCACGCAGCGGAAGTGACAAGCGTGCATGCACTTAGCGCTTGATAACTCTGCTCCACTACATCGTAGCTCAACGCGGATTTCTGCAACAGAAAGCCTGGAAAATTCGCGACCGAATCGATAGTAAATTTTCTATCGTGGGTAAAAAATCATTCCAGTGCGAGCATTTCAAATGATGGGTCGAATTCGACCCACAAATGTATGGTCTGACGGTTAAAGGGTTAATAAAGTCTACAAAAATGTCGATTCAGCTTGTCTTATTGATTGCGGTTATCAAAATTAATTATTGTCTCCTCGCCGTTTGTTTAGAAGAAATAAATGATTTCTTTTCCATGTTGATCTCCAGCATTCATGGACACCTTGGCATGGGAATACTAATGTATTTCGTTGTACTTATGGCCACTTGCCAGTACGAAAAGGCACAATTTTCTGCACTTTGAGGCTCCATAAGTACAACAAAGCGAATATGTATCCCCGCATGCCGAAGCATAATAATTATGAGGATTTTGCGAGCATAATGCGAGAATCCATGAAAGCAGAGTTCCATGATTTCGGGAGCATACTCCTGAGGAGGCTTATTTTGCGACACGCAAGATTAACATCACATACTGTATGATATGCAACTGTCAAGCGTGTCCATTATTTCTGCGCTTGGCCCTGCCTGGCTGATGGCATTCCTTACATGTCGATCATGCTCTTGCCATGCTCCTGGGTCAAAGCTAAAGCTGACCGTTCACAGTCAGAACTAGCTTCTGATATGCGATCTCTTTTTACGGTGCTGTGTTGAGCAGCAGCAGCAATGCTGACAGTCATGTTTGTAATCCATGCCTGGAGCGGCGGCGGCGGCCTAGATCAATGCACTCAAGATGAAGACAAGCTAAACATCTGCTGATCACAGCGAACTAAGAATGTTAGCTACGTTAAGAGGATGACGAAAGATAATTGGACCCCCGCACACAATGGATTTTATCTTCACAATTCATCCTTGCAAGGATGTTCAAGGATCAAATTAGAACACTGAAATCATCCGGCTATACAACAGCACAAAGCTTGTCTAATAGTAATAGGAAACTTAGCATGTTGGAGACACGTCGGCTGCATGCGCCCATCGCATGCACCAAGAACCGAAACCACGTTCCCGCACCCCCCCCCCCCCCACTCCCCTCCCCCTCGTCTAATCACTCGTGTCTTGTATTTGAGTGTGGTCCTGACTGGAAGATGTTTATACTTCTAGTAGGCTCAGCCATTAGTGAATGGTTTTTGCATACATCACTGTACATGTGTCTTCAGGTGCACCCAGTGATGTACATACAAAGCGCCTGACGAGATTCCAAACGCAAACATTGGACTCTGGAGTGACTCAAGAACCCATACCAACAACAAATCCTATGCCATTGGAAGAGTCCCCCGAGAATCCGCTCCCAAGCGGCACTGGTGCAGCTATGATGGCATCGAAGGGTGCAGTGGAAAAGTCACCTGCTTCCCCCATTAGCCTGCGCACTGTGCAGCCAGTTGCAGCTCCAGCGGACAGTATTCAGGTGCCAGCCACAAAGAAGACAAGTCAGTCTGCTGCACAGACCGGTAAGACTATAATTATGCTGCATAGTTCAACCCTCCTTTACAACTACAGTAAAACCTGTGACTGACGACCTCCCCTTGGGGCCAGAGAAAGCGGTCTTGAGGGGCAGGTTGTCCTTAACCCTTTGGAGCCCCAAATAACCCTGATATTTGTTTAAAATTAGAGGTTTGCAGATTGTCAAGTTTCATTTTCTTTTTCTTAAAAAAGAAATAGTAATTTCGTTTTGCTTTTTTGTTAGTTGTTGTGTGAGGCTAGTGACATCATGTTCTGTGATTGCCCGTATAAGAGACGTATTCAATTTAGAAGGTTTGAGGTTTGCAGCGCACAACCGTATAGGAGTTTGAGACCGTCCGTGCCTGGCGAAGTGGTCTGTAGTACAAGGCTGGTCGCTAGTCACGGTGCTCTTTAGTTACAGGTTTTACTGTAGTACCAGGCTGGTCGCTAGTCACGGTGGTCTTTAGTTACAGGTTTTACTGTAGTACCAGGCTGGTCGCTAGTCACGGTGGTCTTTAGTTACAGGTTTTACTGTAGTACCAGGCTGGTCGCTAGTCACGGTGGTCTTTAGTTACAGGTTTTACTGTAGTACCAGGCTGGTTGCTAGTCACGGTGGTCTTTAGTTACAGGTTTTACTGTAGTACCAGGCTGGTCGCTAGTCACGGTGGTCTTTAGTTACAGGTTTTACTGTAGTACCAGGCTGGTTGCTAGTCACGGTGGTCTTTAGTTACAGGTTTTACTGTAGTACCAGGCTGGTTGCTAGTCACGGTGGTCTTTAGTTACAGGTTTTACTGTAGTACCAGGTTGGTTGCTAGTCACGGTGGTCTTTAGTTACAGGTTTTACTGTAGTACCAGGTTGGTTGCTAGTCACGGTGGTCTTTAGTTACAGGCTTTACTGTAGTACCAGGTTGGTTGCTAGTCACGGTGGTCTTTAGTTACAGGTTTTACTGTAGTACCAGGCTGGTCGCTAGTCACGGTGGTCTTTAGTTACAGGTTTTACTGTAGTACCAGGCTGGTCGCTAGTCACGGTGGTCTTTAGTTACAGGTTTTACTGTAGTACCAGGCTGGTCGCTAGTCACGGTGGTCTTTAGTTACAGGTTTTACTGTAGTACCAGGCTGGTCGCTAGTCACGGTGGTCTTTAGTTACAGGTTTTACTGTACAGTAACCCAGGTTGGATAGCTACAGGATGATTTAGTACTTGTTCTATAGTTACCTGAGCTAACATTCTGGAACCGTGGCCTTTTGTCTTCTCCTTGTATTTAGTGGACACGCCACAAACGCCGGATGTCTGTTCATCAAATCCATGTCTACACGGCGGAAGTTGCATTCCAGCCATCATTCAAACCAACGCAGGGTATTTATGCTTGTGCGAAGAAAACTACACAGGATATAACTGCCAACTGAGTTCAAATGTTGATACTAGTAAGTACACGTCACCAAGTAGCGAGTTCCTCTGTCTTAAGACTGCTCAATAGCCATATAGGCCAGAGCCTTCCACACAGGAGAGATAGAGAAAGAGAAAGAGAGAGAGAGAGAGAGAGAGAGAGAGAGAGAGAGAGAGAGAGAGAGAGAGGAAGCTGTGTTGCAACTCCGAGTTTCATGTCCGGCAACTAACGGCTCCAAGACGTGAAACTCGGTGTAGCACCACAGCATCCACTCTCTCCCCTGTGTACTGGTAAGTAAAATCATGTACTTTATACAATCTTTTCTTGGAACATATCGATTCGCATGATACTCTCTCGAATGATGTCTTTGATTTCCGAATATTCTATGAAAACCCTTAGGCATCCCATCCTGAAATCAGGTGGTCTCTTCGCTGCAAACTACAATATCTCAATCAAATTTTCGGCCACTAGCCATCATCAGGAAAGGGGAGAACAAGTGAGGTGGACCTGTATCAGGCAACACAAAATGGAACGAAACTACACCATACGTGATAAAATGGCACCATCCTTTCGGCACAGGCACACAAGGTCCGAATAATACTGACTTTTATTTCATTAGAATCTGAAACATTGGTGGGGTTAAACTAGAAAGCCGTGAAAGGGCAACGGGGACGAGCTCAGCGGAACGCATGTACAAAGCGTGATTCATGGTTAGCCAGCTACTAGGACGCAAGCAGAGTCACTGATCAAAGAGTGATCAACACCGTCAGGTGTTACTCAAGCACACACACACACACACACACCTTGGACCTTGGACGCGCTGCCATATTCTGGCTATGCGGACCATGGGGGGGGGGGGGGGGTTGAGCAGGCTCGGAACAGTAGGGGCGATGACGGGATAGGTCCTGTGGTCTACTAAGAAGGAGCTACGGTCTGGGTTGGTTGCTCTGGCCGAGCCACGGCTGCACTTGTGACGTTTCATGCCTTGGCGCGATAGCACGCAGCGGTTGCAGCGGGCGCAGTGGAAGCTGCAGCATTCGCAGGACATATTGTTTGTAACCCCCCCCCCCCACACACACACACTAGTGAACTTAGAGATTACACTGTATTTGGGTATATACAAGTCAGGATTCTGCATATTATGTCAAGGTAGGTGGCTACCCTTGGGGACATTGCCACCTCCGTGGTGTTTCGCCCCCCCCCCCTCCTCCACCTCCTGAGAATGATAATAATTTAATATAGAACAGTTCGCGTATAGGGCAGCAATGTTGTGCTAACCTTTCCCCTTCTGTCTCTATTGAGCTCTGGTACATGTGATGGTTGATCGTCCACGTGAAAAAATAGGAAAAGAAGAAAAAAGGAAAAATACCCCGAGAGAAATGAATGTGCACAACCGGATAAAGATGTGTATGGAGATGGATGTATGTAAGTGCATGAATGTGCTAGTGTCTGTACTAGGAAGTGTGAGTGCGCGTGTGGGGAACGGAAAAAAGCTGCCAGAAACAGAACAGAAAAAGTCAAGTTGACCCTGTCATATTGTAGCGCAAGCTGCAGGAATCCAAAGATATTATTTGTTGAGGCAAGCGAGGAACAAGACTGGTTAGCTGAAACCATGGTGATAGGGGAGCGGGGAACAAACGTTGCTGCAGAGGGGTAGAGAAGAAGACATGATGATAATAATTAAACAAGCGTTTCGGAGACAGCAGTTTAATATAGCTACCGTGAATGAGGACTGTAAGCATTTCCATTATGTCGACATGAGTGTGTAAAATGTTATACGATGATTCCAAGGCACAGAACGAAAGGGAAAGAAAGGATTTGTTCAGACCTGTTTTCTTTTTACATTCAACAGTGAATCTACGTAACAATGGAATGTGAACATTTTTTCTTCTTTTTTTTACTATGTTCACATACCCAACTCGTAAACAATACTGAAAGACAATGGTACTGAGACAAGAATTAACGTGAGAGCTGCTGAGTAGGGGCTGCACCGAGACGCAGCAGTGATGGTGGTGCACTGATGGCTCTGCAGACCTGCGGTCTCGGCATCACGGCCAGAAACACGCACCAAAAACAAAAGATAGAGCTGTATGGGTCAACAAAATGAAAAGAAAGCAAGGGTTAACATCAGCTAGTGTGCAGCGCATTCGTAGCAATGGCAGTCGTTGATGGGGCACTATAATGTACTTGGGTCGACAGGCAGAATGTCCGTTGACCATCGCCAATCCTGTCGGCGGAGGTATTCGTTGACGTTGCATTTAAGCTTTTGAGATTTTTTGCGAGTTGGGACAGAGTCTAGAAAAGCTGGCGGCAGCGGAGAATGGTGTCTGGTGCTTGACGCGGTAGGGGATTTCTTAGCTGGTAACTGTGGCCGGTGGCCGTGCGGAGATCGTTTAGAGTACGAGTGGCGTCACGGGGCTCAAGCCTTGGTGGGAGGACTGCTGGCAATTGAGTCGGACCGGTGATGAAATGCAGTTTGTACGTGTATGGTAGTGCAGCTGATATCGCCGTAGGCTGAGGCTCTGGAGCTCCGTCCCGGAACTAATGATATACAATGCATGGAGTTGGATGCTGGCTATGGGGAGTTAGATGGGAGGGAGCAGCTCCCATCCAGACAAGTGGAGCATACCCCGTACAAACCCCTTCTTCACTGTGAGGCTGCCTTCTGGGGAGTGATAGGACGCAGCTCGCCGCAGGAGGCCCAGACGTTGTTTGCCACGTATTTTTTTTGGTAGAGACACTGCGCGGGTGTTCTCCGCGAAAGACAGCTTTGGATCAAAAATCACCCCCAAGAGCTTTATTGTGGATGACTCTGGCACAGGGTTGCCTCCAAAGAGGAGAGAGGGCAAGGCTAGCTTCCCGCTTTGCAGCGTGACTGTCATAGCCTGGGATTTCGACGGCTCAAGCAATACACTCCATTCCTTGCCTCAGACAAACGATTGAAGGTGTCCTGAAGCAAGGCAGAAGCAGTGATGCGGTCGTTACGGAGAAAGATGTGCAATGTCGCATCGTCAGCATAGGCTTCCAGCTGCATGTTGCCAGCAAGGCATGTTGATACGTCGTTAATGTAGACGAGGAACATGGTTGGCCCCAGGATGCTGCCTTGTGGGACTCTCGCCTTGATGGGGTATGGACGGGAGGACACCTGTGTGAGAGACCTTGTCCAAGGCTCCAGAAATGTCAAGTGCAAGCACGCGTGCTGCACCCCCAAGTCCAATAGAGGATACCCAGGAGTGGTGTAGCGCAGTAAGAGCGTCGGCTGTACTTCATTAAATAGAAAACCTTACACACACCATCTTCAATCCAAGTGGTCTCTTCGCTGCAAATTGCAATAATTCTCAATCAAATTTTCAGCCAGGAGCCATCCGAAAATTTGATTAAATAATTAGTGAAATTTGCAGTGAAGAGACCACTTGGATTGAAGATGGCGTGTGTGTAAAGCTTTCCATTGGACAAATAAAAGTGAAAGAAAGGGAAAAAGAGCGAACCAAAATGGTGATTATACTACATGAAAAATAAAATAACTCAGATGGTGAGCCAAGGAAACATGGAAAATGTGATTTTGTTGGTGGACTCGATCGCATAACGTTTGCCCACATGTTTCCATGTTACAATAAAACATGTTCAAATGAGTTGGCTGCTGTTTCTTGGGATGCTAATTTCACGGTGTTGTTATTTGATTGTGTGCCTTCAGCCAATTGACACTTGACAAATTTCCGTGTCCCGACACTTCAACTGCACCTTTTTACAAGTCGGATGGGAAGACCATTCGCCTTATCGTAAATTTAGTGGAATTTGAATTTGGCAGGTGTACAAGTGGTTATGATGGCATTTTTGCACTGTATGGGGCACGTATTGGAATTCCCCGGTCGTTTCGTGCGTAGATTTTTTCATTTGTTTTTGAGCAAGAGCGTGGATGCTTCCCGAAGCGGGTACTCTTTCTCTTTTGTTTTTGCATTTTTCTTCGTTTTTTTGTGAAATTGATATGGATTGTAGTGCAAGTATGAAATTATAATTACGTTTGTGTAATTCATTTATCCTAACCGCCTTTTTCCTCATTGAAGTTACACTTGGTTTGAATATACAAACTACAATTTCAGCTTAACTCCGTCAGCTACATTTCTGGTGATTGTCTGGGATATGCTAGTGTGAGCATTAGTAAGTCTGGTAGCGTCACATTGTGAAAAAGCGCGGACAGAGGTGCTGGGGAGGCAGTGGGCGGCCGATGGGTCGAGGTGTTTTTAAAAGAGAATTAATAAACAAACACACACAAACACGCCATTTGACTGTACAAAGCAGCAAGGCAGCGATGAGACATATGGAATTGCAGGAGTGGGGGAGAGGCAGGGGCAACTTGACCGACCATAGGGCAGCAAATGAAAGGGTGCCTATGAAAGACAGCAGCTCCCGCTTCGTGCAACTAGTGCGAGCATACCAGACAGCCAGGGCTGAGTGCAGAGCAGACAACTTATCACCAGGGAGCAGCATGACCTGCTCCACGCTGTCGACCTCAATACCAAGAATGGTCATCACAGTGGCGGGGCCAACCACCTTGCCAGGACTGGATGCAACGGGAATGCCAAGGTTATCAAAGACTTGGAGAACGGTAGCCATCTGAATAGCCGCTGTGGAGAGAGGGAGCACAGAGCTTGGAGGGGCAACACCAATGTAGTCATCAAGATAATGTTCCATGGAAAGAATAGAATAATTGTGCCGCAGGATCCAGCACACAGCATCAGTGAGAACATTGAACAAAGCCGGTGAGGATCGCATCCCAAATGGGAGGACCTTATCAACATAATAACGACCCTGCCACACCATGCCACACCATGCCACACCATGCTACACCATGCCACACCATGCCACACCATACCACACCATGCCACACCATGCCACACCATGCCACACCATGCCACACCCTTCCACACCATGCCACACCATGCCACACCATGCCACACCATGCCACACCCTGCCACACCATGCCACACCATGCCACACCATGCCACGCCATGTCACACCATGCCACACCCTGCCACACCATGCCACACCCTGCCACACCATGCCACACCATGCCACACCATGCCCAACATGTGCCAATCATAAGGGTGGACCGGAATATTACGAAACGCGTGCTGGATATCCACTTTAAACATTAGAGAACCCTTTCTCTGACGAATCACATGCCGAACGATGTCGTCCACGGTTATAATTATACATAAGGCGGAAGCGATCAGTTGGAACACAGTAATTAATGCTGTGGACCACAGGAGCAGACAAATGCACAATAAGCCGGTGGCCACCTGACTTCTTGGGGACAACACCAATACCAGCGGAACGAAATGGAACACAGGGAGGCCGGAGGAACGGATCAGTGGTATGGCCACGAGCACATTCTTCGGCCAAGCACTCACAATATCAGGATTGTCATAGCAGGAAACAAGGTTAGAGCTAACGAGGGAAGAGCGGGGACCAGTATAACCAATGCGGAAGCCATGACGCAGGCCATCGAGGAGTGTTGCCACGAAATCCCTGTCAGGATGGACTGAAGCTCATCCGCCAGAGAGGCGACATGGACAGGAGTAAACGGGCGATGCTCAGACAAGGGAGAAGCCGAAGGCACGCTACGTCGACTTGCTGGCAACGCCGGTGGCAGTACATTGGCTGCGTGGATGGTCCCCCGCGCCACAAGAGGAGCACACATGACGAAATCGGCAGGAGCGAAAATTACACCGTCCGCGGTTGAACGCTCAACAAGCTCTAGTAGCCGACTGTGGCTGCCGGCCACGTGGGCTAGACAAGCAAGGTGACCGGGCTTGTGGCAAGCAGAACAAATAGGTAGGGACTGGCCCGTAAAACAGCGAGCATACAAGTCCATGTCGGTCTTGTTCCAGAGGCCCTCCGAACACCGAGAGGCTCTCTGGCGGAACTGGGTGTCGTAATCGGCCACCGCAGCCCACCGGAATTTCTTAGCCGACTGGAGAATAATGAGCTGGTAACCCAGCAGCTCGGAGGACTTCGACGGTTGCTGATCGGCAACGATACAACAATAAATCGTCCAAGCCTCCAGCCAGGACTGGAGCGAGGCGATCCTGAGCCGTGTCGATGAGGACGCCGTCCTAACTAAATCGCCGTCCTCTTTGGACACGCGAATCCGTTTAGGATGAGGCTCAGCAGTAGGGGTCGACGCAATGACCGGGGGCAACAAACAGCTCAAATCTATGAAGTCCCCACGCAACACTTTCGCGATCTGAGCCAATGCCACATGGCTATAAACATCGACAGAACGAGAGGGCTTACCAGACTCTGGCAGGCGAGGACGAGCCGAAGTCGAAGCCCCAGGCGCGGTGAGACCAGACGGGGTGACGGAGCTCGCGGCTGGTGGAGACAACGACGCTGTTGCGCCCGACACGCCAGGGGCAGATTGAGAAACTGGAGGCCGGCGAACCGCGGGAGGGAAACTATCAGGTAAGGCGGGAACGGGCTCCTCCTGAACGCCTACTGCCGATGAATCGAACAAGGAGACAGCTGGCTCTGGTTCTGCCGGAACGGGCGGAGTAGCAGAGACGGGAGCCGGGTCCGCAACGCCAACTGGGGCAACAGCTAGTTGAGGCAGCACCGCGGAAAGGGACGAAGTGATAAGAGTCTGGAGCTCGGCGGTCTGCGCAGCAGAGAAAGCCGACCGGTCTCGCCGTGGAGGCATTGTAACAAGGTAATCCGAGCACGGACGGACCACTGAACAGAACGTGAGAGAAATTATCAGCCTGACACGGAAAGCACTTCTTGTCCAAAGGAAAGACAAACCAAACTGCATTCAACTAGCTACTGCAGCGCGTATAAAGGCAACACAGTAGCAGCAGTGCAAAAAATGCAAATTACAGATCATCCTCGGCACAGAATAATAATTTCAATTATTATTCCGTGCTGAGTATGATCTGTAATTTGCATTTTAAATGATATGCATCATGAGACCATCACTGCGCATGTGCCCGCGTGGGCTAACTTGGCTTTGATACTCAAAGCCGACATTTATGCTGGCCTTTCATACAAACTTCCAGTTAACTGCCCCATCATGCAGGTGGTTTATACTGGGCATATAAACCTCATACCTCATACAAATCCCATATAGACCACCACCGTACAAACTCCTTTTTAGAAACAGGAAAAAGTTGACTGTCAGTTTGTATGAAGGTCAGCATAAGTATAATACATCCCACTACCGTAGTACGCTTGTACGTGAAATATAAGTATCTATTATTGCACGATTAAAGAGGTCAATATATGAAATATAGAACGAGTAAAAGACCGAGGTCCCCCGAGGTCTTTTACGAGGTCTATATTTCATATATTGACCGATTATGAGGGCAATAATAGATTTATCACGACATAGCATACCTAAAACTGGTTTTGCTTTGCTATAGGAAGAAAGGAATACTATTGTAATAGTATAATAGTATGTACATAATATGTACATACTAATATTCTTCTTTCAGTTCTGATTTTTTTCTAAGTTGAGGAAAAAGTTCTAAGTCCTCGGGCTAAGGCCCTCTTCAGACTATAGTCAGTTTCAAAAAGATTAGCAATCCTGGTGATCGCCCGGGGAGTTTGCCGTCTTACCGTATGAGCGCTCGAGCGCTGCCTGGAAAAACTCACTGTGAACTCGAAGAAATATTCCGCGCGAAAGCATGAAAAATGACAACTCACTGACGATCTTCCTCGCATCGATGTGGAGTCAGAGAGGACATGTCGAAAGTGTGGTAAATTTTGACGAGCGGGATGCGTCCGTTTTGTGACCAAATAAATTCTTTGAGCTGCCGCGGATGCAATTTACTCTCACGATGTGACGAAAACGGCATCGACACAGACTCATTCCCAAGGCCTTGAAGTGGCAAAGTTATCCGTGTGACTTCGACGACATTTTGAGAAAGCAGACGCCTGTGAAAGCTGATAGAAGACGGCGTTGACTCCTAAATTCAAATAAATTGGCGATCTTCAAATACTAAAATAATTCTCAAACAGAAATCGATCGATCGCGATGTGCCGGTTTCAATATAGTATTCAACAACACGTAGCTACAGCGCAATGACTTCCGTGTTCACTCACACGGTTTCAGTGTTGTGTGTGTTCACAACTTCACATGGCGTGAGCCAGTCATTCAAGTGTCAGTCAGTTCGGCAGGAAACGCGAGCTCCAACAAGTCGCTTGGCGCAGCCACCTTCTTTGTCTTGTACCAAAACAATGAAAAAAAATGAAGAAAAAATGTTTGACTTGAAGATTTGTTGGGATTTGAACTCACAACTTCATGATGAATTCATGGTCAGCAGACAGCATTCATAACCACTAGGCCAAAAAGGAAGGGATAAATCGTGGGTTTTGATAACAAATCGATACTGGCTTCCAGGGCAAATTATAAACCATGGGAAAAGGCCAGAAACCTGGCCGAAATACTAACTCCTTAACGGTTGGTCCAATTGTTCCGAAACCTTCACAGAACAATTTGCCGTGCCCTAACAAGCCGTTTTATGTACTTTGTTGTCCAGATTTCCCTTATCTTCATACTTTTTAAGACCTAAACTTGATTGCTAATCTTTTTGAAACAGACTGTAGGTACAAAACAGCCTATAAGTCACATTTACATAGAAGTTTCCAGGACAACAACAAGAATCTGGCGGGAAGCCTAAAAAGCTGCCCAATCCTTTCAGGCAGGGTGCCAACCCTTGTACAAGGCAACTTTCCTGCATTTATCGTACTTTCACCAGGCAGTTGTACGAACTTTGTACCCGGGTACGACTGTCCGCTGCTTTCACATATCCCAGGCCCCTTGCGCAATTTCGTAGGGTCAAAGGTTGCCTGTATATTGCATGTAAAATGTGTAGTCTGAAAGCAGGCATGGAAAAATGTTGCCTTTTAGGTTTTATGTGATTTTGTACTGGATTTTCTATGTACGTAGTCTGATGAGGGCCTTAAGCGGGATTCACAGAAGCTTTTTTGCGATGCGACACGCGATGCGACGCGATCTGCGACGGACGCGTGCGATGCGAACTCGCGAAATACCATTCACAGAAGAAGTCAGTGATGCGACAAAATCTTGCTGATTTGGCTACGTCACCATGATATTCGCGCGGTTTGATACAACTTGTACAAATTTATAGGCAACTCTTGCACCTTTGTACAACTTTGCTGTAGAAAAGGTCAAAATCGTACGCCAAATCGCTTGTCGCATCGCATCGCATCGCAAAAGTTGAGCCAAGCTCAACTTCTGCGATGGCCCAGTTGCGGCAGTTGCGTGGGGTGCGACATGGCTGCGATTTGGGGTTTTCCCGGTTTCGCGCCTGTCGCATCGCGTGTCGCATCGCAAAAAAGCTTCTGTGAATCCCGCTTAAGGGGGCTCAACCCCGAAGAGGGAGCAAAAATAATTATGGTAAATCGATCTGAACTGTGTGTTTTCAGATGGCCAGACACCTAGAGAACTGGTCTGGGGTATTTCAAGGATAGGTCTATTATGTGGTTCCCCAGCTATGGGGGTGTAATTGTACCTATGTTTTTCGGCAAAAATTCAATGATTTTTCACTAAAGGCGTAAAATTCCAGTTGGTAATGCTTCAAAAATCTTGAAAGTGGGTATGGAGGGGCCTACAATACTGTCTCCTTTGGAAAATGTCCACAACATATGACCAGACCACTGTGAGAGGCCAAGGTAGCCCAGAATGTGATTTGGCAAAACGCGTATTCCAGCAGACCGGACTTTAGACTTGTTTGAATAGTGGAGAATCGAGACAATAACATGGTCCATTTTATGGTCATTATCTGCTCTTCAAGGCCATAGGAAGGCTCTACAAAAATATATTTTTATGTCTACCATCTCGTTTCTCCGTGAGAAACAAAATTTGTGACGGATTTTGCATATTCAACTTGAAAGTCAGATTCAGCATTGTTGCCAAAATGAGTGTATCGACTTCATTCAAGCTTCAGTTTGACTATGTAGGGCGAGAAGCATTTGCTATAGACCAATCCTAGACAATACCACACGCCACAGTCACCACTGAATTGTGTTATTCACATCTTTGTTGTATATTGTGAGTATGTACATACATAATATAATGTACATACATACATGCATGTGTATATCAATGTACAAAACAACGGCCTATAAGTATAACGCTGTCAATGAGCAACTTGAGTTGCTTGGTTACTGCTGGATGAGATGGCTAGCAGCCACTGCTGGTATTGTGGGTTCGCGCCTCCAGTGTGCAGCACAACGTGAATGTTTGCCGGAGCAGATAACTGCAGCATCACCACGAGTGGTAGAAAGTGGGGACGATGCTGCACCTCCTGCAGCTACTGGAGTACTTGTGAAGTTGTGTGGTCTGGAGCAGTCTGTAAAACAGGGGTGTTGGTGTTGGGTCTTCCAGATGCTAGATGATGTGTTATGCGTTTTGTAATAGCAGAACTCGTTGTGACTAGCACACGCCCATCGCCACCCGGTTCGTGCAATAATCCAAGGATGCCAGTTCCCTGATTCCTCTCAAATGCCAACACCAGATGATTGTACCTGTAGGCAAGATATATAACGTTGTTGTTGTTGTTGTTGAAGAATATTTAGACTTCTACAAACACCCATGTTGCAGCGAAACTCCCACTCCAGCTTGTTTGCTGAGACTGTGACAGAGGCCTGACTAGTGCTGCAATGTGTACTGCTGTGATTCATGATTTCAGTTGACATTCCTTGCCTTGCCTTGCCTGGGTAATATTGCAGTTCTTCACAACATGCATAACACAATTTTATGCTGCATTTATAGTCTAGGTCAAGGCCGAGCTCATGAAAATGTGACAACTTGACCATGCATAATATTGCGTGTCTGTGACTGTCTCTGCTCAAGTTGTTCTACAAGGCATATTGCCAATATTTCAATATTCAGTTTTATAATATAAACAGATTCCTGTCATAGTTCAATGATACAAGCACAGCCATACTACCTTGAACCCACAGCCTTCTCCTGAGAAACACAGGTACATGTCAGAACTCACCCAGTGCAGCCTTAGAGTTCATAGGATCTATGCTTTCCACTCCATCCAGCATGAGATGTCTGACCAAATTCTCCTGCCCACACATTTGTAGAACACTTCACTGGCATGTCGCTGTGCTGTTCCTACTGGCTGTTCCAGACCACACTCATTACTCACAGTCACAGAGATCAAGTCTCTACTTGCAGACACTACACCCTGACTCCACTATCCCCATGTACTGCAGGGACAAGACCAGTTTTTTCTCTCGCAGTCGTCAGTAACATTTTTATCTGGCGACTGGAAAAGAAAAAATAGATATCGTTCCAAGTGCCACTCAAGTGGATGCACTTGAACTTGAGAGATGCATGTCACTTACCTGCGCTCTGAGACTGGTACATGTATCACTGGTAGCTGGGCTCTGGACAATCTTGCGGGTTTACTGTCTTGTCTTCACTGGCAGGCGAGACTGAGAAAAGGTCATATCTGAGCTAGAAGTAACTAGTTAGAACTACACGACCTGAAGAAGCTGAAGAAGATTGAACACGCTTTGTTCCTGAGCACCCACGAAAACGGCCGTGCCTATTGATAACTACAAGTACTTGACACGAAGCTCCATCGCCGACATCCAGCAAACCGAAATGGAAAATACAAAACGTTCAAACTGTTCAAGGACTGCAGTTTCTTTGATTTCTCGCAAAATAAACTTTTGAACACGACTATTTCTCGCAAAAAGACTTTCTCCAGCCGCGGACAAAATGTTTTCAAACGCGAAATTTTGCATAAAATCATGCCCAGATTTCGATGCGCGCGCAGAAGTACTGAGCCCCCTTAAGGGGGCTCAGTACTTCTGCGCGCGCATCGAAATCTGGGCATGATTTTATGCAAAATTTCGCGTTTGAAAACATTTTGTCCGCGGCTGGAGAAAGTTTTTTTGCGAGAAATAGTCGTGTTCAAAAGTTTATTTTGCGAGAATTCAAAGAAACTGCAGTCCTTGAACAGTTTGAACGTTTTGTGTTTTCCATTTGGTTTGCTGGATGTCGGCGATCGATGGAGTTTCGCGTCAAGTACTTGTAGTTATCAATAGGCACGGCCGTTTTCGTGGGCGCTCAGGAACAAAGCGTGTTCAATCTTCTTCAGGTCAAGCTTCTTCAGGTCGTGTAGTTCTAACTTCCAGCTCAGATATGCCCTTTTCTCAGTCTCGCCTGCCAGTGAAGACAAGTAAACCTGCAAGATTGTCCAGAGCCCAGCTACCAGTGATACATGTACCAGTCTCAGAACGCAGGTAAGTGACATGCTTCTCTCAAGTTCAAGTGCATCCACTTGAGTGGCACTTGGAACGATATCTATTTTTTCTTTTCCAGTCGCCAGATAAAAATGTTACTGACGACTGTGAGAGAAAAACTGGTCTTGTACCTGCAGTACCTGGAGATAGTGGAGTCAGAGTGTAGTGTCTGCAAGTAGGGACTTGATCTCTGTGAGTAATGAGTGTGGTCTGGAACAGCCAGTATATATAAACAGCATAGGGACATGCCAGTGAAGTGTTCTATGTGTGGGCAGGAGAATTTGGTCAGACATCTGAGTCTCATGCTGGATGGAGTGGAAAGCATGGATCCTATGAACTCTAAGGCTGCACTGGGTGAGTTCTGACATGTGCCTGTGTTTCTCAGGAGAAGGCTGTGGGTTCAAGGTAGTATGGCTGTGCTTGTATCATTGAACTATGACAGGAATCTGTATAATATTATAAAAATGAATATTGAAATATTGGCAATATGCCTTGTAGAACAACTTGAGCAGAGACAGTCACAGACACGTAATATTATGCATGGTCAAGTTGCCACATTTTCATGAGCTCGGCCTTGACCTAGACTGTAAATGCAGCATAAAATTGTGTTATGCATGTTGTGAAGAACTGCAATATTACCCAGGCAAGGCAAGGCAAGGAATGTCAACTGAAATCATGAATCACAGCAGTACACATTGCAGCACTAGTCAGGCTTCTGTCACAGTCTCAGCAAACAAGCTGGAGTGGGAGTTTCGCTGCACCATGGGTGTTTGTAGAAGTCTACTTCAACAACAACAACAACAACAACAACGTTATATATCATGCCTACAGGTACAATCATCTGGTGTTGGCATTTGAGAGGAATCAGGGAACTGGCATCCTTGGATTATTGCACGAACCGGGTGGCGATGGGCGTGTGCTAGTCACAACGAGTTCTGCTATTGCAAAACGCATAACACATCATCTAGCATCTGGAAGACCCAACACCAACACCCCTATTTTACACACTGCTCCAGACCGCACAAGTACTCCAGCAGCTGCAGGAGGTGCAGCATCGTCCCCACTTTCTACCACTCGTGATGATGCTGCAGTTATCTGCTCAAACATTCACGTTGTGCTGCACACTGGAGGCGCGAACTCACAATACCAACAGTGGCTGCTAGCCATCGCATCCAGCAGTAACCAAGCAACTCAAGTTGCTCATTGAAAGCGTTATACTTATAATCCGTTGTTTTGTACATTGATATACCCATGCATGTATGTATGTATGTATGTACATTATAGTATTATTATTATTATCAAATTTTTGATAGGGCAATCCCCACAGGCCTAGGCTAAGGCCTTCTTACAGGGTACCCTAGAAAATGTATGTACATACTCACAATATACAACAAAGATGTGAATAACACAATTCAGTTGTGACTGTTGCATGGGGTATTGTCTGGGATTGGTCTATAGCAAATGCTTCTCGCCCTACATAGTCAAAGTGAAGCTTGAATGAAGTCGATACACTCATTTTGTCAACAATGCTGAATCTGACTTTCAAGTTGAATATGCAAAATCCGTCACAAATTTTGTTTCTCACGGAGAAACGAGATGGTGGACATAAAAATCTATTTTTGTAGAGCCTTCCTATGGCCTTGAAGAGCAGATAATGACCATAAAATGGACCATGTTATTGTCTCGATTCTCCACTATTCAAACAAGTCTAAAGATCGGTCTGCTGAAATACGCGTTTTGCCAAATCACATTCTGGGCTACCTTGGCCTCTCACAGTGGTCTGGTCATATGTTGTGGACATTTTCCAAAGGAGACAGTATTGTAGGCCCCTCCATACCCACTTTCAGGATTTTTGAAGCATTACCAACTGGAATTTTACGCCTTTAGTGAGAAATCATTGAATTTTTGCCGAAAAACATAGGTACAATAACACCCCCATAGCTGGGGAACCACATAATAAACCTATCCTTGAAATAGCCCAGACCAGTTCTCTAGGTGTCTGGCCATCTGAAAACACACAGTTCAGATCGATTTACCATAATATTTTTTGCTCCCTCTTCGGGGTTGAGCCCCCTTAAGTGGTCAATAATAAGTGGTCAATATAAGCGGTCAATATAATGTTGATATTTGACCGCTTAGAAATCACAAGTTTCTGTGGGGGTCAATAATAAGAGAGTGATAAACCATCATACAAACCTCGGTTTCGCCTCGCTTCGTATGCCGGTTTATATTTCACGTACAAGCGTACTGTTGGGTTGTATTCCATACACAATAATAATAATTTGTTTTTAAATGGGAAAGTCCACTGTATTCCCGAATAGGCACGAGAGGTGGTGGCGGGGCAAGGCTGCTCTGCCGACCTTAAAGGTCTGGTCGTCTACGCAGATAAAGCGCGCCATAGTGTAGTATCATGATTCATGAGGAGGAGGAATACCCAGTCGTGAGGGAAGCAGAATGAGAGAAAACATGTAGTGAGGAGAGGGGGGAGAGGGGGGAGAGGGGGGAGAGGGGGGGGGGAGAGAGGGGGGAGAGGGGGGAGAGAGAGGGGGGGGGAGAGGGGGGGAGACGCCAGTGAGGCACTAGTCTATACTGTTGGTCTATGCCATTAAATTTTCATATGGCGTCAGTGACTGTTCCATGTGGCAGTTGTTATGTTATGTTATGTTAGTATTGTTACCTTTATTTTACTTCACCATAGCTACAGGTATTGCTGCCTTCTTGCTGTGGATCATAAATGATGCCACAGCTCCTAGGCTATGATGAAAAATAAAAATAGATTAATATGATCAAAATATCCACTATCACTCTGCAACATTACCTTGATGCTTCCAAGTGCACCCTGGCGCATTCAATTTTCCTTGACCAGCACCCTGCTCATTTACAGTCCCTTAATTGGTTCAATTCAGGTGGCACCACCCGAAGCTGCGTTCGTCTCCCCCTAGCTAGGTCTACCCTATTCATAAATTCCCCTTTCTTTTCCTCCTACTCCACGTGGCTCCAACTGCCTCCCAGTGTTAGACAAGCTCCAGATATGCCCAAATTCCGTACCCTCGTCAGACAGCACTTCAGTATCTCCCAGTAAACAAAGTCACAGTCACCACTTCCGCTGCATAGCTCGCTGAGCATCCCATTGCTTTGTAAGTTGCTAATCCCTTCCCACTTTGTGTACGTGCTCTTAATTTTCTTTTTTTCTCTTCTTCCGTGGTTGGTCTCACCCTCTCCTCAATTCAATTGGCTGTCTTGACATGCCACGAGGTGCAGAAATAAATAAATAAATAAATAAATATGAACACCATATATGAACACCATATTTATCAACCATAAGTACAGCTGCAGTGGTGTCTTCAACTTCATTCTCCCGAGTCAAGCTCCGTATGGAGACATCCAAGAAGAAGATTGCCTGATGAGTCCAGCGGGGACGAAACGTACGTCGCAATCGAGCTATGTCGTTGCTGTGTCATCTTCTATGTGCCATGCGCTACTTGATGTACCAGCCTGCTATGTTTGTTTGTTTGTTTGTTTGTTTGTTTTTTTATTATTTCAGGCTATGTCGGATACCGCCAACCATGCATCGACTAGGCGCCAGGCGCGAACTGATGGTGGTGGTGGTGAGAAGGAGAGCTCTGTGCTAGAACTTTGAAGCTTAGAGAGCGTGTGTGGGCAGGCGTGTGTTTACCGCCATATTGCCAGGTGTCTCTTTACCACCATATTTATCAACCAAAAATATGAACAGTATGGGAAGTAATAAAATGCCATGACTTTCAGCAGACCAGTTATAAGAAATACCATGCAGCAGTGTATTTTATGTGTGTTGTGGTTGTACATGTAGATAATATACATGTAGATGATGGACAGGGGACGTAATAGTGTGTCAATAGCTAATGGAGTGAAGTGAGATCAAGATCTGAAAGAGATTTTTGAAATGAACAAGGTTTGGTAGAGAGCGGGTAGCATCGGGTAGAGAGTTTCATGTGGTGCTGCCCAGAAATTGGATAGAACACCTCCCAGCAGGATTGGGTAGGAACGGGATGCGAAGTAAATAATGCAGCTGCCCACGGGTGACTATACGATCGGCAAGTGGCATGTGAGGCTTGGCAAGTACTACAAAATAATCTTGAGAAAGAGAGCTTGCAGATCCGTGTATATACCGGAAACCAAATACAAGCAGCTTCTGTAAAAGGACTTGGTGAAGTGATGGCACGGATAACTAAGCAAGCAAGGGAGCTGTTGCAGTCCGGCGGGGAGCCTGAAACACAGCACGAATACCAGACTTATGCAGTTTTACAAGGTAATTTAGCAGAGACCGTGAAAGCGCAAGAAAGAAGCAATTAGAGGCGTAACAGAGATGAGATAGTATCATAGACATACCCTATTCGGCGTGCTTTCAGTGACAAGGCCCGGCCATGCCTCCAAGCTGTCCAGTGGTCGCGGCCAATTTTTTCGCCAGGAACTCGATGTGAGGTGTAGTGGCTTTCCTTTGTTCTTCAGCTCTCCATGATACGTGTCTCTTTTGTAGTGAGCTCAGTAGTCTTTTTATGACTCATACATTGGTATCTCAGAACCGCCCTTCAAACCCCCAAACGCCAACCACCTCCCTACATGAGTCATGAAAAGACTACTGAGCTTACTACAAAAAGAGAGCAGCAATATATACATTGGTATTTCAGGACCGTACTTCAAACCCCAAAACGCCAACCACCTCCCTACAGTTCTTGCTGCTAGATTCGGCAGTGGCTTTATACACGATCTCCTTGGCTTGACACTCTCCGCGCAGTGGGCATGACTCTCCAGTTGCATCTGCTCGATTTCTAGCAGTTAATGCTTATTGCGACCGCCCCCATGTTCGGCATCGGGCTGTAGATCACTTTCACAATACTTGACATAATTTTTCGCGTCAAAATTCCCAACACCCATTCTCGGCCTGTGGAAATGACGCGCCAAACGAAAGTACATGTGATCTCTGCCCTGATGGTCCAGTGATGGGCCGCAGTGAAAAAGTCATGATATTAGCCGATTAAACGGTTGCTGACCCTCACATGATATGCACAGAGGACTACAATACCACTGGAATTCAATGACTAGTGATCTGTATTTGAGAGCGACACTTGGGGATTCCTGGGTGTCTGCTACGTGCTTGCGCTGACCTGTTGGCTCCATCGCTTTCTGTGCTCTTCAGCTCATCGCTGAGGCATGGTGAAGTCCCTCTGGCTTTCAAACATGCTGTAATAAGCCCTCTCTTCAAAGCTGGCGATCCATCGGTAGCTGCAAATTATCGTCCTGTGTCGCTCCTGCCGATCGTATCCAAACTACTCGAGAAGATAGTCCAGAAGCAACTTGTTGCACATCTGGAGCGATCATGTGCCCTACCACCGACGCAGTTTGCCTTCCGCCGTGAGCACTCCACAGAGGACGCCCTAGTTGCAGCAACAGATGCCATATTAAAGGCCCGGAACGACAAGTTCACCACAGGCGTCTGCCTAATCGACATGTCAAAAGCCTTTGACAAGGTCAATCACAGCCAACTGGTCCGAGACCTATTCGATCTCGGCCTGGACAATGCCTCCCTTCGCTGGTTCTGCAGGTACTTAAGCGATCGAACCCAGCAAGTGCGCATTGGCCCCACCTACAGTGTTGCTGCTAAGTGCTCATCTGGTGTACCTCAGGGCTCGGTCCTAGTACCGATCCTGTTTAGCATGTACACCCACCCGTGATGTCTCTGCCATAGCCCATCCTGCTCCATCTCTGCAATTTGCCGATGACATTGCCGTGTACTGCCACAAAAAAACAATGCTAGCCACATCAGCCTGCCTATCAGGGGCCGTCACCAACGTCGCTGACTGGCTCAAGCATCGACATCTACTTCTAAATGACAAGAAGAGCCAGGTCCTGTCAATTGTACCACAACGCAATGCGGGTCAGCATGTCGCTGTCCGCTGCAACCAGACAGAGCTTCCCCTGAGCCCAACAGCAAGGTACCTCGGCTTGACCCTTGACGCCGCTGTGAAGTGGGACCCCCATGTTGACGCGATGGCGAAGAAAGTTGTGCAGAAGATTGGAGCGCTGTGGCGGTCCCGCAGATGTCTGAGCCTCAGCAGTCGCATCCAGTATGTGAGCTCAGTCATCATGCCTGACCTCCTATATATGTCTAACGCCTTCTCTTCCTCCCTCAAGGTTTCGCAGCTTGATCGCCTTCATGTAAAAAATGTCCTGCAGAACCGAGCGGCGAGAGCGGTATACGGCTTGCCGCCTCACACCTCGGCCCAGGCTCTGCTCGAACGGATATCCCTGTACAGAGTTCGCGAGTGCTACGCCCAGAAGCGGCTCGTCCTGGTGTGGCGCTGTTTTTGTTTTTCTTTACGAGAAACCACGAACCTCGAGAACAGAATACGGCATGATAGAGGTGGTTGCAGACGCAACTGTGGTGGTGAAACTGGAGTATCTCCGCCGACCTGAGGTCTCGGCTTCAGCGACACTTCTGTGCACCAAAAACTGGGGAGGAGTAGGCACAGGGGGAGGGGAGGGGGTACATTTATAGAGGAAGGAAAAACGGAAAGATGATACATGTCATAGAGGAAGAAAAATAATAATAAAACATCTTCACTAGTTTGAGGGAAAGAGACAAACGGGAAAAGTCTGAAGACAAAATTTACTGTCACCACCAGGACTCGAACCAGGGACACTCGCTTGTAGCTAGCGATGCTCTGACCACTGAGCTATGGTGAAGTCGTCATCCCAGCAGAGACTGTTTAACATCTTCTTCAGACTTCGTAACTCACACTTCCTGTGAATCCACACAGGCGAGTGGGACGCAGCCCTCACTGTACCCACACACTTCACGTACACTCTAGCACGCGGGGAGCCCTAAGTCATAAAATCTTCACTAGTTTGAGGGAAAGAGACAAACGGGAAAAGTCTGAAGACAAAAATTGACTGTCACCACCAGGACTCGAACCAGGGACCCTCGCTTGTAGCTAGCGATGCTCTAACCACTGAGCTATGGTGTAGTCGTCATCCCAGCAGAGACTGTTCAACATCTTCTTCAGACTTCGTAACTCACACTTCTTGTGAATCCACACAGGCG